ACTCTTTCAAAAATTGAGAATGCCCTCACCTTACTACCTAGCTGCCCAGCTCAGCACTTTCTTCCTTGTTTTATTTTTACCTTAGCACTTATCTCTTCCTAATATATTATAGAATTTGCTTACTTATTCTGTTTTTTTTCTCTTTCTATTCAAACTTAAGCTCAACAAAGGAAGGAATTTTCAGTTGTTTTGTTCTTAACTCTAATTCACTGCTATATGCCTAGGATCTAGAATTGTACCTAGAACATTGTAGATGCTCAGTAAATATTTATTAAATCAAAAAATTCAGGAAACGTAATTGTTAAGGCAAGAAGCTATGGCAGTAGCTGGAGGAGACTGTGAAGGAGCATCATTTCTTTTTAAAGATAGCAGAAATTTGAGCATTGGACATGGCAAGGAAATCAGAGTGGAAAAAGTTGCACATCTGTTCACTGATTCAAACAAAATTTCTGAGCACTTTTTATGGGCCAGATGCTTTTCTAGGCATTTGGAATATAGCAGTGAATAAGAACAAAGCCCCTGCTTATAATCTTATAATCTAGAAGCATAGGGAATTATTGATAAATTGATTTATTTAAGGAGATAGGAGAATAAAAGTGAGAGATTGGCCTTAAACATCAGTAAAGACAGGTCTTTTACTATGGAGAGTTGTGAAGAAGTCTGGATGAATGTAGTTGCAGATAATTTATCTGAACCTGATGCAATGCAGTAACCTCAGAAGAGAACATGTTATCCATCTGAAGCCCTGCATTACCACCCCTTAGTATTCATGGACTTACCAATGGCAGTATTTTTTATCTTTTCCTAACTCCCCTACTCTTCTAGACAACTATTTTCTATCTTTTTCTCCCTCCTCAAATCAACAACTTCTCCTTGTTCTCATACTCAGCAAATGGCCTTGCTTCTTGGAAGTCATAGAACATCTCCTCTCTTCCACCACCATAGCTACTAACCTGTTTGCATCTGTACCTAAAACCCTACTGTCCTTCTGATTCATGTAAATGGACAAAATTTACATGAATTTACCTAAAGGCAGCCCCTTGATCCCATCCCTTTCTGCCTACTTAAGAGTATGACTCCAATAATACTCTCATCTTTTCTACATTGTTTTTTCCTTTCTGTAGTCATTCCTACATACAGGTAAACATCTCCTTAAAAAATAACCTCCTTTTCTTTTTTGTTTTTTTGGTAAGGGTTTTTAAATTTTATTTATTTATTTTTATTTTTGGCTGCGTTGGGTGTTTGTTGCTGTGTGCAGGCTTCCTCTAGTTGCGGCGAATGGGAGTTACTCTTCGTTGCGGTGCGCAGGCTTCTCGTTGTGGTGGCTTCTCATGTTTTAGAGCACGGGCTCTAAGTGTGAGGGCTCTTCAGTAGTTGTGGCTTGCGGCTCCAGAGCACAGGCTCCGCGGTTGTGGCACACGGGCTTAGTTGCTCTGCAGCATGTGGGATCTTCCCGGACCGTGGATCGAACCATGTCCCCTGCATTGTCAGGTGGATTCTTAACCACTGCGCCACCAGGAAAGTTCAGCCTCCTTTTCTTTCTTTTTTTTTTTTTTGCGGTACGCGGGCCTCTCACTGTCGTGGCCTCTCCCGTTGCGGAGCACAGGCTCCGGACGCGCAGGCTCAGCGGCCATGGCTCACGGGCCCAGCCGCTCCGCGGCATGTGGGATCTTCCCGGACCAGGGCACGAACCCGTATCCCCTGCATCGGCGGGCGAACTCTCAACCACTGCGCCACCGGGGAAGCCCCAGCCTCCTTTTCTTTAAACTACATATCTACTTCCAGGTAGCATCCTATTTTTTTGCTTCCTTTTGTAACAAACTTCCTTGAAAAGTGACATACCATTTATCATCAGGTCCTCTTCTCCCTTTCTCTCTCGAGCTCACTCAAGACTTTTGTACTTATTACTCTACCAAACTAACCCTTTTCAAGGTCACTGGTGACTTCCTAATAGCTAAAAACTATACTCAGTTCTCAGTCCTTATCTTATTTAATAGCAGCAATTGACATAATTGATTACTCTCTCTTGACAAAATTTCTCTATTGGCTTCTGTGACACCAAACACTGTTTTCCTCTTATTGAATTGGTTGCTCTTCCTCACCCTTCTTTGCTCCTTTGTCCTTTCCCATCTCTGATACCTTTAAAGTTTGGAGGACCCAAGGGATCACTCCCTACTTGTTCTCATCTAGCCTCTGGGCTTTAAATAGCATCAATATACAAGTATATTCTCCCCTGAATTCCAGACTTGTAAGTCTAGCTGTCTGTTTGACATCTCCACTTGAGTGTTTAATAAGCATCTTATATGTAACATGTCCAGAAAAAAATGCCTTACTCCCTCACTTTGCCAACCTGCTCCTCCCTGTCTTCCCCATGTCAATATTAGCTATTCTGTTATTCCTAGTTGCTTAAATCTAAAACTTGGAGTCATCCTAGACTCTTCTTTTTTTCTTATACTCTGCATGAAATCCATCAGTAAATCCTAGCTATAACTAAAAAACATGTCCATAATATGATCACTTCTCACCACTTTTAACATTTACCAGCTTGATCCAAACCACCATCATCTCCAATCTCGATTATTTCAGTTGCCTCCTAACTGGTATCCCTGCTTCTACCATTGTCCCCCTTCTAGTCTGATCTTAAACAACAGCCAGAATGATCTTTGTAAGACAGAATACTCAGTGTAAAAGCCAAAGTCCCTATATTGTTTTAGAAAGCCTTATAATACCTGTTCTCTCTCCCCACTTCTCTTACTACATCTCACAACTCCCCCCAACCCCTCCTCACTCTGCTCACATTAGCTTCCTTCAGAACATTTAGGCATTTGGTATTAGATGTTTCCTCTGCCTGAAACTGTATTCCCGGATACACTGCATGGCTGTCTTACTTCCTCCATATATTTCCTCAAATGTCAGCTTAGCAGAGAGGCCTCCTTGATCACCCTCTATAAAATAGTGACCACACTCACAGCCTGTTCACCTTTCTTTTCATTGTTCTGTGTGATATACTGTATATTGTTCATTTCTTTAAACTGTCTCACACTACTAACGTATGTTTTCTGAGGGCAGGGAGCTTATTACTGCTGTATGCCTTAATTCCTAGAACAGTGTTTGGCACATAGGAACATTCAAATATGTTGAGCAAAAACAATTGTCCAAAAAATTATTACTTTTTGTAGTCACTATATGTCTTCCTCTTTAGGCTTGAGGCAGCCTAAAGTATTTGTATTACTCTCTTAATAGAAAATAGTTGGAAGTCATTCATTCATTCATTTAATAAACATTTATTGAGCACCTACTGTATGTAGGGGTTACAGTTATGACCAAGATAACTTATTGAAGACAGGTTCTTTGGGAAGAGCAGGCAAACTGCAGTGATCTGGTCGTGGTCTGAATGTCAATTCTGAAAGGCTTTTAAAATGTAATTCCTAAGGAGCATTTCTAGAATAGTTTACAGTGGTTTGCAGGTCTATTTATAAGTCTTCATAATCTCATTGAATTTCAGAACTGGAAGGGACCTCAAAAATAATGTAGTTTAATCCTCTCATTTTATGGATTTGATTAAGTTGAGCTCCAGTAAGTATAATGAACTTGCCCAGTGTCCCTAACCAATTAGCTAGTAGTAGAATGGGGTAAGGGTCCAGGCCTGGCCTCTTGATTTATAAGCCAATGACTTTTCCACTGTGCCATGCTGCGTTTCATTCCAGATCCCAACACATTCCCTTCTAGAAGTAGACCTCTTGCCATTGTTTTATTACCTTGTTCTTAGTTAAGCAAAATAGCAGGTACAAGATTAAAGTGTCCTTTGCTTTTATAGTTTTTCTAAGTGTGAGAGGTTAAATTCATTACTTTCATAGGAATTCTGTAATGGATTCAAGGTTTATTTTAAGCAATAAAATACTTAATTCTTTTTATGTGTTTTTAAGCATATGATTAAGTTAGTAGAATGAATTGAATTTGTTTACATTCATTTCTCTTTTAAATCTACTAGAGAAACTCTTGCTACTCAGTTGGATCTAGCAGAAACAAAAGCCGAGTCTGAGCAGTTGGCTCGAGGGCTTCTGGAAGAACAGTATTTTGAATTGACCCAAGAAAGCAAGAAAGCTGCTTCAAGAAATAGACAAGAGATTACAGATAAAGAGCACACTGTTAGTCGGGTACGTGTGATAGTTCATTAAGTTATGTGATTTAAATTAATTTAAAAATCAAAACAGGTTACATGTTAAAGTGTTTGGGTAAGTGTAAGTGCATGAGTATTTACTTATACACAATGGTCAACTTGTACTCATGTATAAAATAATTTATATAATCTAAAACAGTTGTTAATGATTGAAATTCTTATTCAGTGTATTGGGTTTTTTCCCTTTCTGGCTGTAGATCTTAATATATTTTCTGTGAAGAAATGCTTACCTTAAATTCATTTGTTTTATTATCTTAATAAATTGCAACTGATTTCATGACCAGAATTCTATAAAATTCAGAGAAACTGTTTTGGGATAAAAAATTCTTTGTGGATATCTACAAATCCATTATAGAAAAACTGGTACTACAAACAATTACCTATTCCTGAAATTTATGCTATGGTCTGTGTATTATGGAGCTAGAAAGGGAAGTTAGAGAGATTTTTCTTCTTGGCAAATCTCAGCTTTGCCCCTAAGAAGTTACATGGTCTTGGCAGTTTGCTTTAACTTCTCCAAGCCTCAGATTCTTCATCTATAATATAGAAACAATACCTATTCCACAGTTTTCTTACGAAGATTAAATGAAATCATATAAATAGAAGGGTGAATAAGTATATTACTAAAAGACATTGTTGGAGGACAGAGGAAATGAAAAGTGCCCACCGAACTGAGAAGGTATCTTGAGACCGAAAAACAAGGCAGGCAGCTCCGTATAATCAGTGGATCAGTTTATTATAGGGTACCCTACTCACAGAGTGGGTTCGGACAGACAGTGATATGGAAGCATTCACAGCTGCACTCCATACCACCAAGGGACCATTGGGACAATGTTATAGTTAACCTAGGGTATGGGGGGTATGTGCTTGGAAATAGGAAGTGCATTCCTACGTCAAGATTTATGAATGGATAACTAGTCTCATAGGTACCAGGAATATGTCAGCAAAGGTCTTCATCATTGATTGGGGACTAACAGAGCATAGAGGCCACCTGGTCTTAATGATTATTAAATAATATCTATTAACTACAAAGCCCTTGATAACAAAGAAGTGATTTTTACCACACAGTACTGGATAGGGTCAGGATAGGGTCAGGGGCAGGACAGGAGGAACTATATGGGCCCACAATGGCATCATTTATGCTAACAGCCATACAATAATCATCAAACATTTTAAATTGTCGTTTTCATCATCATTATTCAGATGAAGAAACTGAAGCCCAGAAAGGTTGTGACTTACTAAGTGTCACAGAGCTAGAAAACTAAATGCACATTTCCTAGTTTCTAGTCTTGTTCTCTTTTCATTACATTTTTTATTCCCTCCGTTCATATGTAATGTGTATATACACACACACTGAAATAATTTTTGGAAGCTAACAATTGTTTTCAAATATTTTGAATTTAATTATATCCACATATTTTAAACTGGAAACCAGATGTTTTTATAATTAAGCAATGTCTGACCTGTCCTCATCTATGGAAAATGCAAGTATTTTTTTAAAGGTTATTGCTTTAAATATGGGACTAGCAAAGAGACTATATAGCTTAAACGTTTCTGTGCTTTGTTTAGCTCGAAGAAACAAACAGTATGCTAACCAAAGATATTGAATTATTAAGAAAAGAAAATGAAGAGCTAACTGATAAAATGAGGAAGGCGGAGGAAGGTATGTAGGATTTTTTTAAAAATCATAAGTTAAATCAGGTTCAGAGGTAAATCTTTATGTTGTGCATTAGGTTTTTGAAATATTTGTTTTCATATATTAAATAACTTTTGTAGCCTTAAGTATTATCTTAGTAAAACTTAAATATTCTCACCATCAGCCCCCCCCCACAAAAAGGTAAATATGTGAGGTGATTGATGTGTTCATTAACTTGATTGTGGGGGACCCTTTCACAATGTATGTGTATCAATTCATCACATTGTACACTTTAAATATCTTAAAATTTTATTTGTCTATTATACCTCAATAAACTGAAAAAATCTTTTTTAAAATAATTAATTAATTAATTTTATTTATTTTTGGCTGCATTGGGTCTTCATTGCTGTGTGCGGGCTTTCTCTAGTTGCGGCGAGTGGGGGCTACTCTTCACTGTGGTGCGCAGGCTTCTCATTGTGGTGACTTCTCTTGTTGTGGAGCACGGGCTGTAGGCGCGCGGGCTTCAGTAGTTGTGGCTTACGGGCTCAGTAGTTGTGGAGCACAGGCTTAGTTGCTCCGCTGCATGTGGGATCTTCCTGGACCAGGGCTTGAACCCAGGTCCCCTGCATTGGCAGGCGATTCTTAACCACTGCACCACCAGGGAAGCCCTGGAAAAATACCTTAATGAAGTTACTGAAAGTTATTACGTGGTATATACTAATTTGAATAATTAGTTATTGTTACTAATAACTAAGTAAGAATTAAATATTTTATTGCTTAAAATAAACCTTGAATCCATTACAAAATTTCTATAAAAGTATCTCAATGTTACTTTGCAAGGCAGAAATTAATTAATGCCATGCAATAACATTTTATATAATTTGTTGACAGAATATAAACTGAAGAAGGAGGAGGAGGTCAATAATCTTAAGGCTGCCTTTGAAAAGAATATCAATACAGAACGAACCCTTAAAACACAGGTATACATGCTCTTAGCCTTTTTCATGTGTTTGTATTTGAGTATCATATATTCAGAAGTTAATATTTGCTCTTCATGTCCTTTTCTTAAAACTGAGATTATAAGGTTCAAGCTTTTCATTAGAACAAGTAATGTAATATTCTTTCTTTATTAAATGTGGAAGAGTTATTCAGGAAGTAGGATTTCAATCGAGTTAAGAAAACTAATTTGTCTAGTCACCTGATTAGTGAAGAATTTGTTTTAGATTGTATAGAAAACCTACAATTGACAGTAGGAAAACTTAATGAGGAGAAACCACATACTTGACTGAAGTCAAGAGAGAAGAATCGGGAGTGAGTAAGAAACTTAAAAGGGGTAGAGGTATTATTTTGCTTTGTATTTTGCAGCTAGATCAGATTTTTTTACACTAAAACTTGGTATCTTGTCATTTTACCAAGTTATCCAGTAGTTTAAATTCTTCATAAGGTACTGCGTACCTCGGTTGATTTTTACAGTAAAATAAATATTTTCTACTTGATAGCTCCTTACCACTAATCTATTCTCCCCCTCAACAATCCTTCAACTAGAGTAGTCTTTCAAAAATGCACTTAATACCTGTTGAAAATCCTTCATTGGAGATTTTACTTCCCTTTATACCAAAACAGAGACCATGAAGAAAAAGATTGACGTTTATTACGTACAAAAAAGTCCAAAAGAACATAAGTTGAAAGAAAATAAACTAGGAAGAATATTTTCAGCATGTATAGATAAATATAACGAGCATCTGCAAAAAAGAAAAAGACAATCCAATAGAAAAAAGAAAAACTAAGGGACACTTAAGAGAAAAAAGAAGCAGTATCACTCTGTACTGTCGTGCTTGCTTATCCTGCTCCTCCACCAGACTGGGATGCCTTTGGGGCATAATTGTATTTTCTGTCCTTATCTCTAGTGCCTATCAGAGTGCTTACATGCAGTATAATAAGTGCTGAATAATTGTTGAACAGTAACTGGATTTTTGCAAGCCTGTCTGGTTCTTACATTTGAACAATGAGATTAATCAATAATAGTTACTTGTGCTACCAGTTATCATATTCCAACATTCATTAGGTTCTCCTAATCTTCACATACACAAAATGTCCTGCTTCCTGATTTTGAAGAAAAATATATATTTTTAGTGGAGATTTAAATTGGGTAACTACAATGAAGAACCGTATTAATAACATTTTAATATTTTAATAGGCTGTTAACAAGTTGGCAGAAATAATGAATCGGAAAGACTTTAAAATTGATAGAAAGAAGGCTAATACACAGGATTTGAGAAAGAAGGAAAAGGAAAATCGAAAGCTACAACTTGAACTCAACCAAGAAAGAGAGAAATTCAACCAGATGGTAGTGAAACATCAGAAGGAACTGAATGACATGCAAGCGGTAAGGTTGTGTGTTGCACTTGTAGGATTATTTTAAATTGTTATTACTGTATATACTTATTGTCTACTGATCTCATTTAGTTTTTTTAGTATAAAAATCATATTTAGGTTTATATTCTCCATAATTTGATTACTGTTACTCTGATTTGAACCATGATCTTGAAAAAATAGAAAGATACTCTGTTGCCTATTAACTATGACTTGAGTAATTTTTACCCCTTAGCATCAGCTTGATTAGAGATGCTACTTTTAGAGAAACAACCAAGGGTTTTGCCTCTTTGGCTTCAGACTGAAATTGAGATATGACTGGTATAATATTGACTATAGTTGGGATAGTGGAATTGGAGTATTATAGCCTTTTTGTTTCCTCTGATGAAGACTCACTTTTCAAAATATCAAGCTTAATTTTTTTGATGCTTCCTAGCTTAATAGCACAAAATTGAGAACATGGTCTCTGATCTTAGACAGACTTAGATACAAGCATTGACTCCATCATTTATGGTTTTACCATCCTGAGAAGCTTTCTATATCTTTTAAATTATTTTGTTTGAAGCCATAAAAGCAATTTCTGTTGTTTTAACAGGTGTTTGGTTTTGGTTTTTGATGCTTTGTATTAAAAAAAATACTTATTTAAAGCAAAGAGAAAAGGAGCTTATCCAAGCAATGTATTACTGAGGAAGAGAACTTGCACATTTATAGTTGTATTAAAATCTGTGGTAGTAAACATTCATGGAGTTTACAGTAAATTTTTAGTATTAGCAATTCTAGATTATTTATAGTTCCACTAATTCTTAATTTCTAATGTTGGAAATTTTGATCTTGATTCTTTATATTATCTTGGTATTTTTTAAAAAATAGCAATTGGTAGAAGAATGTACACATAGGAATGAGCTTCAGATGCAGTTGGCTAGCAAAGAGAGTGACATTGAGCAATTGCGTGCGAAACTTTTGGACCTATCAGATTCTACAAGTGTTGCTAGTTTTCCTAGTGCTGATGAAACTGATGGAAACCTTCCAGGTAAGAATATTTTCTGTTACTTCATTCAAGTTTGCTTAAACTTGAATGGAAATTCATGGAAATTAATGTAGATTTCTTTCATTTGGATTTCTACCTCTTTGTTGTTTTGTCCATGGATTCTTAAGAAGGGATTTATGTTTCTGATAGCCAGAGTCTGATGACATTTGTATACCTAGTGCATTTTATAGAATAAAAGCAGTCATAAGCAGTCTTAGGCTATTAAAATACATCTGAGTGGCTCTAACTAAATAGAAACTTGAAGACGTTTATGAATCAATATTGAACCAGCCTAATGCCATGGTGAAAGTTGAAGCTGCTGCTACAACTCTCACCATTTAAGGAGGATTATACATGTTGTCATGAGTAGCAGCTCTTCAGTGTTGTATGTATTTTTTTGCTAAAGCTAAGAACTATACTTAATAATCAGAACCACAGCAGCTCTATATAGAAGCCCACCTAATGCTATAGTGATAAACTTTAATCAGACTTGAAGTTTCAAATTTGGTGAAATAGATAAAAGGGGTTGGAAGATGCAGAGAGGGGGCAGGGAGTCAAGTAAAGGCAAAAGCGAGTAGTTAGGATTTCAGACTTTTTCTTCTTTTTCCTTTTTTTTTTCTAGTGGAGAATCAATTGAAAAATAAACACAGCCTCATTCTTGGGTTCATTGTAGTGTAGGTTATAGTACATTTATGTCTTTTTAACAGAGATGAACAATACACATATTACAGGTTCAATTTAGAAATGAATAGGTTATATATATTAAAACATGCATTACAGATTTTAAAGGCATACACACACACACACACAACACATTTGACCTACTACATATTCTTAGTTCAAGGTCTTGAAAGTTTTGCAACATGGTCCTAAACTTGAAAATAGATTTTATTTAATGTATTTCCTGAATAATGCATAAAAAGATATGAATCAGCACATTTGATATAATAGGGATCTGTTTTAACAGATATTACTTGTTTTTTGAGAATTTGATATAAGAAACTTGAAAGACTACTTAGAAAATTTTACATTATCATTCTTGGTCAAGAAAGTGGGACTCAAAGTAGGAAGTGAATTCAGTTCTTATTTGTATTCTGTGTAATCCCTGCCCTCATTCTTCAGTGGCTTTGCTAGCCCAAAATGAGATATCTGGAAAGGGAAGGGCAGGGAATAAATATTTCTTACTCCAGTGGTCAAGAAATTCCTTCTGTATTCCCATTTTTGGCTCTCTGAAACCTCCTGCCTCTTGAGAATCTTGTAGGTGCACAACCTTATCAGAGGATCACTTTGGATTTAATAAGAATCTCTAGCTTCAGCTGTTGTTTGAACATCTTTCTAAAGTTATGACTTTATCATCAGTTAAGAAAGAGTATGACTTTTAGGGGTGTTTGTGTACATTCCTTCACTTGTTGAACTGAAATTGTAGTTTAGGTTCCCTCTTCATTAACCCCAAGATATTTCTAGAATTATTTAGTTAAAGGAATTCTTTCTCTAGTGTAGGTTAAATATCCTGACGAGGATTTTGTCTTTATCCCACCCATTTCCCTTTAACTTTGTTTATAATGTCTTACTATGTATGCCTTGGTTTTCTTTGTATTAAGTTAAACATTTCAGAGACTGATTCATTATTGGTGAATGCTATCTAGAGGATTTGAATTGAAAGATGAGGTTGGGAGAAGGTAATGAGCTTTATCTTTCATCCTGGCTTATTCATGAAGGCTAAACTCAAAGCATCATCAGGTGGTTTGATTGGCAGACTTAGGTGAGATATCCATTTAGATTTCAGAATCCTGACCTAATAAATCCACTCAGGAGTCAGTCAGCAAAGAGATTTTTAAATTTTTCTACTGGCTCCATTCTGAGTATATAATATTTAGAATAACTTTGTATTTTCAGAGATTTTGCTTTTAAGGATTTCAAAGTTCAAACAAAGTGGGAAAACAAAAAGGCTCTGGTGGCCATTCTCCATTGCTATAAAGGGAGACCAATTAGGGTATCTCTTTATTAACTGTGTTCTCAGTTTGAACTTTACAGAGGTCTCTGTAGTGCTGAACCTTTTCATATTGGAGACTATGACTTTCATATTGGAGGTAGAAATTAATGGATAATCATTACCAATGTTATTTTACCTCTGTGTCAGATATTTTACTAGTAAATTGAAAATATGTACTAAGTCTGCCATTTACTAGATCTCTGGCAAATAAAGTTAAGGTTTTGCAGTAATATCTAGGAAGAATTGTAAAGAATTTTGGTATTCATTCTTGTGAAGTGAACATGATAACACTACACTACAGAAACTTGATGTGGTATTCATCCTTAATTTGAGAGAGTTATATATCATTCAAGTGTCTGAAAGATTTTTTTGAAGGTGATGATTAATTTTACTTAGTTTGGAAAACTGATGAATGAATTTAAACTACAGATTTACAAAGGGAGGTCTTAGAATAGTTAAATAGTTAAAATGAAGGCCTTTTGAAATATTGATCAAATTTTTAGTTCAGTGAGATGTTTTTTTAAGTAGTTAGGTGGATAAACTGATAATATACTTTATTTCTCTTAGATTTCATCATTCAATATAAAGAAGAATCTCATTTAATTATCTTGTTTATTTAGAGTTCAGCCTCTGTCATTTTCTCAGCTGGCATCTTATCATTAACTAGATTAAATCTCTTTAAGTTTCCCAATTCTAAAAACCTTAGAGAAAATGGTTATCCTTCTCTGACTTATAACCCTTTGAAGTTCTTAATATCACTTTCATTCTCTTATGTCTTCATCCTCCTTTTGGTTCTGTGGCAGGTTGTGGCCTTAGCACTGTAAATATAAAGGTTACCCTCTAGGGTTAAGGTTTTCCTATTGCCTAGATGACAGAAAGACTAATGTGATATCTGGCTCTCCTTCCTTGTTTTTTTCCTTTCCTTTTGGAAATATTGACCTAAGAATCTGAAAAAAATGTAAAAATAGATGAAGCATTAAGAACACTGGTATCAGCATTCCATTAATATTCATTATCTCTTCTGGATTATCTGCATCATTCTCTTTCCATCCAGCTTGATCTCAGACTTTGTAACTTAAACCTGTGTATGGTGGATTTCTTGGTATGTTTCCAAGTATTTGAGTATATAAGAGTTTCTGACTTTGCCCAAATCTAATCAATGATTGGAGATAATCAGTACATCTGAATTCTTGAGCATTGATTTTTTTTTCTTTTTTATATCACTTCTGAATATAATTTTAAAATTTTGGAGTGATTCTCTACCTTTATTTCTTAAGCAGTATGTAGTTTATCAAGTAAACTTTGGTAGTCTTCAGTGGTTAGCTTTGATGTTTAAATTGGGTGTATTTGATACTGATTTACATATAGTTAACCTCTTTTTTATTTGGGTAAAGGAGTTAATTGCTGATATTGCAGTAATGCACATCTAAATTTTTTTATAAGTTAAAATTGTTCTACAAATATGTAAAACCTGGGACCAAGTTGTTTTTGTACTTCAGTAGTATGTTACTGATAATAATGTAGACTTAGAAGTCCTCAGCATTTCTTTTATTTATCTGGAGAAGCTGATTTCTGTGCTTGTATTGTAAAAGATAGAATTTAGAGCATTATACTTTCAGATTGCCACTTAGGTCACAAGTGGTCATAGTTTTGAAGGAGGTCTTTATATACTTAAAAAAAAAACTGGTATATTACCTTGCATGTAAGACAGAAGTAAGTAATTTTTTAATTTATCACTGAGCTTAGTTTACCTGCTTCTCTGAAGGGAATTCACCAGAAGGAAAGACTAAGATTCTCTCCTATAACATTATTGTCTTAAACTGGCAAAAACCTTCACATATCTTCAGCATCTTTTTTGAGTTCCTAATTTCTTCATTTTATTTAAATTAGAGCAAATATAAAATTGGGCTTATTTAATTCATAAAATGCCTTTGATGTATAAAATTTCTATAGGAACACTGAAATGACATACATTTAGTCATACAGTCTTCAACATACAATTCATTAAAAATATATTTCAAACCTAGAGCCAGAAAGCATAAATATTTTTGGCATTTATTCTCATAGAGAAATAACTTGGAGGTAGGAATATTTTGGCATACACAATTTTGTATAAATGTCAAGATTTCAGTGGCTTTTACATCTTTTATTTTTAGTGAGGAATTACTGGTATTAAATGGACTTTGGCACACTGAAGGGAAGTTTTCCTAGCAATAACTTTTTTCCTTTTCTACAGCAGAATATTTGTGAATGATCAACAGACTTCTGTATGTTATTTAGTATAAAGCAGACCTTTGGTTTTTAAATTACAACCATTATTTAAATAGAGGGTGACTTTAATTGGCTAAGTCAGAAAAAAAGAATTGCAAAATAAGCAAAAAAGGTATATCAGGTACCTACTCTGTGTGTCAGATGCCTTGGAGTATATATTTTTAAAAAGTGGGGCTTCCCTGGTGGCTCAGTGGTTGAGAGTCCGCCTGCTGATGCAGGGGACACGGGTTCGTGCCGCGGTCTGGGAGGATCCCACGTGACGCGGAGTGGCTGGGCCTGTGAGCCATGGCCGCTGGGCCTGCGTGTCCGGAGCCTGTGCTCTGCAACAGGAGAGGCCACAACAGTGAGAGGCCCACGTACTGCCAAAAAAAATAATAATAATAAATAAATAAATAAAAAATAAAAAATAAAATAAAATAAAGTGTTAGTATATGGTCCCCTGCTCTCACAAAACTTACCAAGGAAATGCCCGATGGAACAAATTAATTATTGATGAACTAAATAACAGCAACTAAGAAAAAAACTTGGGAGAAGAAGGGGATCATTTTGAACTGAAGTTTCTTATTATTTCTTCCACTTTAACAAAAACAACAATTTAGATGAAGGGGAATAACAAAAGCATAGGGCATTAGGTACAGGGAAGAAGTTGGAACAATAACATTACTCCTGATTTAGTTAACTGCAACACTTGTTTAAGGAAAGAATATCATTGTGCTCTAGGGATTTAAACTCAGAAATTAGACTGCCTGGGTGAACCCTAGAGCTTTGACAGTTGCTGTGATTACCCTTGGGTAAGTTAGTTCACCTTGCTAAGCCTTAGTCTCTTCATTTGTAAATGGAGGATGATAGTAGAACTTATCTTATCCTATATTCCTAAGAATGTAATATCCTATGTTCATGGGACTATTATAGATTATTTATGAGGTATTCCTTGTAAAGCACTTGGGAAATAATAAATGTACAGTAGATGTTACCTATTGTTATCATTACTGTAAGACCGAACTGTTTCACAACTTTTAAGTTATATGGAGGAGGGTAATATATATTCCCCTTAGGGGTCATGATTTGAGCCATGGTATAATGTCACATTATAGCATGTACCTTACAGTTGGTCACTTGTACCTTCTTTTGTGTTTCAAATATAATAGATCTAAAAAAACAGTTAACTGTTCTTATCTCTAACCTGATATAAAATAATCATTTCTAAATGGAATCATCTTTTTCCCCCAGATATTTTTAATAAACGTTAATTATATTTAAATAGTAATAATAATTATAAAATGCATTGATCAAATTAGTCAAAGAATTTCTGGTATGCACAAACTGATAAAACATTAGCAGTTTTACCAACTGAATTCTGTGTTCTTTTACTGTTTATTAAATTCTGATACTACAAACTTGAAAGGCTTTATTTATACCTCTTTTAGTTTGCTAAGAATTGTAATTGGATTTACCACTAGAATTAGGGACCCCTTCCCAACCAAATTTGGACACTTTTAATGAAATTGTTTTGGGTGTTTTACCAAAAAGTTTATCAGAACATTGTACTGAGAAAACAAATAAAATACTTGTCTCTTATTCTTTATATCTAGTTGATTCTGCCTGCATTCCTTATTTATTTATCTTCTATTCTTACCTTCTGTGAGTAATAGGACACTTGTGTACTTTTGCTTGCTCTTTCTTGTGTAAATCATGGCTCTGATTTGTTCCACTTGCTGCATTTTTTTAATTTTTTTGCTAAATACTTTTATATGAATGTTAAATGATATTTAAAGTCTTCTGTATCATATCCCATTTAAGCTGCAATCCATTCCAGTCTTGCCTGGCTATTAAGGGTACTGTTGTTACTTCATACTTTTATAATTGAGTACTGAATGTTAATTTTATGCGGAAAGTGGCTTGGAATTTTTTTCTGCAGTATTTGTATGGCCATTAAAGTTGATTTGTGTGATTGAAGCATGAAAGAGCAAATTATAGCACTTATTCATTTAGCTGTGTTCGAATGCCTGTTGCTGCATGCTGTCAGACAACTTGTAATAGCTTTTCCTTTTGTGACAATTTAAGGCTGAATACTATTTTTTTTTTTCTTCTAGAATCAAGAATTGAAGGTTGGCTTTCAATACCAAATAGAGGAAATATCAAAAGATATGGCTGGAAGAAACAGGTACAATATGCCTCAGTTTTTCTAATTGATATTTTGTTATATATTTTACTTTTAAAGCATACAACTTGTATTAACTGTCCTGTTATTGGCATTGTTTTTAGATTAATACAATATGATCTAGACATAAATGGCAAGTATTGTGCTTATCACTTTAAACCAAGTTAATACTGCTCTTATCTCTTCCCCCTTTTTTCTCCTTTCAGTATGTTGTGGTAAGCAGCAAAAAAATTTTGTTCTATAATGATGAACAAGATAAAGAACAATCTAATCCATCTATGGTATTGGACATTGAGTAAGTTGCCTTTTATTGAATTTTAAGACTGTTGAGTGTTAACCTACGATAATCAATTATTTTTAGACTTACCATTTAGTTTATATTTTGTTATTTAAACGTTATTGACTTTTTTCTTAACAAATTTAAATAATAACTATATTAAATCTTACTTTATCAAAATATGAGAGGGGAAATTTTGCATACCTGATCGATGTATTCTAAAGACAATTTTTTTTAATTTCAAGTGTTTATTGGTTTTATGTTCACAGAACATCTCAAAGTATATGATTATGTGGTCATTGTTAAGAAGGAAATAAAATATATCTTTTCTTTTTTTAATAATATGTCAAAGAGGTCTGTAATAAGCTTAGGTTTTTTTCCTTGTATTCATTCTAAAACCATTTCTTAGGCACTGCTGGCTGTATTATCATAGGTGTTGTAGGTTGTGTAAAATGAGTAAGACAGTTTCATATTTGAGGAGCTTACAGGCTAGTAGCAGGAAAGGTAAAATATATGCAATAACATATAAATTCAGAGTAAGTGTGGTGGGTGCGACAGAGAAATATAAACTTGAAGTTTTGCCATTCCTTTGTAATTAAACATTGTGGAGCTGATTATAGTTAAAATGTTTTAAAAAAATTGAGCAAGTACTGATATTTTATTTCTCAATTTAAAAAAAAGGCATTAGTTGTGAAAATTTAAATAATCAGCTTAATTGGAATAATACGTAAACATTAATAAGAAAGACATCTTTCAACTAACTTAAATACTTTTTATGTTGATGAGAGTTTGTTGTTATTGTTGTTTTACCTTTTTATTGAGATGTAATTTTCATACAATAAAATACATACATCTTAAGTGTTCAGTTCAGTGACTTTTGACAGTTGTAAGCACCCACATAATCAAACCCAGTACAAGATAAAGAACATTTCTATCACCCTAAAAAGCTCGCTTGTGCCTCCTCAAGGGGAAAAAAAAAGATTATCTGAATTCTGTCACTGAGATTTAGTTTTGCCTATTCTAGAACTTCATACTAATCGAATTTTATAGTATGTACTCTTTCGTGCCTGTCTTCCCTCACTCGGCATAGTGTTTAGATGTGTGTATTGATTGTTTATTGCTGAGTACTGTTCCATTGAATGAATATATCTCAGTTTGTCTATCCATTCTTTTGTTAATGGGCATTTGGGTTGCTTCTAAGAGAGCTATTTTAAATAAGACTGCTTTGAACATTCTTTTTTGTGGACTTAAGTTTTCATTTCTCATGGGTAAAATACTTAGGAGTGGAATCCTGGGTCATATAGTAAATCTGTGTAAATAAATCTACCAAACAGTTCTCGAAAAAGGTTATACTGTTTATACTCAACAGCAATATTTGAGTTTCAGTTGCTTCACGTCTTCACCAACATTTGGTGTTGTCAGTCTGACTTTTAGCTGTTCTAATGGATGTGAAATGCTGTTTTGTTGTAGTTTATATTTTCCTTACGGCTAATGATGACAAGAATCTTTCCATGTATTTATTGACCATTTGTATCTCTTAAGTGTCTCCAAGTCTTTTGCTCATTTTTTAATTGGGCTGCTTATCTTTTTAAGGTTGGTTTACAGAAGTTCTGTATATATTCTGGCTTCAAATTTTATGTCAGGAATATGTAGTGCAAATATTTCCCAATCTGTGGTTTGCCAATTCATTTTCTTTATGGTGTCTTTTAATGGAAACCAATGTATCACTGTTTGAAAAGGGTTATTGCCTTTTGTGTAGTCTGTCCAAGACGTTTTTGCCTGCCCAAAGATTGTGAAGGTATTCTATGTTTTCTTCTAGGTTTTATTTTTAAGTTCTGATTGATCTCGTTTCTTTTTATGTTTGGTAAGAAGCAGTGGTTGAGGGTCTTCTGGCGTTTCAGTGGCTAAGACCCTGCGCTTCCACTGCAGGGTGCACGGGTTTGATCCCTTGTTGGGGAACTAAGATGTCACGTGCCTCACAGCGCAGCCAAAAAAGAAGAAAAAAAAAAGTAATAGTGGTTGAGGTTAATTTTTTTCCGGGGAGGGGGTGGGGGTTGTTTTGTTTTGTTCATGTGGATATCTGGTTATTTCAACACTCTTTATTTATGTATATCAACCTTGAATATTCATCTTGCTATTCACTTATTAGTTTTAGAGATTTTGTGTATGTGTGTGGATTCTGCAGGGCTTTTCTACGTAATACAGTAATGTCATCTTCAAATAATAATAGTCTTACTTCTGCCTTTCCAGCCTGCATGCCTTTACCACATGTATAGATTCGTATGACCACCGCCAAGTTAAAATATAGAATAGTTTCATCACAGGGATCCTTCATTGCCCTTTTATAGCCATAGGAAGCACCCTTTCTGTACTCCTCTCTAATCTTTGGCAACCACTAATCTGTTCTCCATCTGTATAATTTTGTCACTTCAAGGATGTTATGTAAATGGAATCAAATAGTATGTAACATTCGATATGCTTCTTTCACTCAGTGTAATTCCCTTGAAGTCGATCCAAGAGGTAGTTTTTTTCTTTTTGTGGTTGAGTAGTGTTCCATCGTATGACTATATCACAGTTTGTTTAACCATTCATTTAAGTTTTTTCCATTTTTGGCCTATTAAAAATAAAGCTGCTGTGAACATTCACATACAGGTTTTCATATATATAGATTTGTAAGAAATTGCCATACTCTTTTCCAGAGTGACTGCAGTTTTACATTTCTCCCACAGTTGTATAAGTGATCTAGTTTCTCTGCATCATCACCAGCATTTGGTGTTATTACTATTTTTATTTTAAAAATTCTGATAGGAGTATAGTGATACTTACTGTGATTTTAATTTGCATTTCTCTAATGAATCTTTTCCTATGCTTATTTGCCACCTCTGTGTTCTCTTCAACAAAACATCTGTCTTTTGCTATAAATGAGTTTTTATAATGGCCTACATCATATTTCTTTTCATTTTAGTAAATTGTTTCATGTTCGTCCTGTAACCCAAGGAGATGTGTACAGAGCTGAAACTGAAGAAATTCCTAAAATATTCCAGGTAAAAATCTGAAAATATAATTTTAGAAGATCCTTTACCTAAGTACTAAGTGTATTTGTGAAGTAAATGTAAATACACCAATACTTTTATACATTTGAAACTTGTATGTATAGATTAAGACCTTTTTTTTAATCTTCTGTTTACCATTCCTAAATGTAGATACTATACGCAAATGAAGGTGAATGTAGAAAAGACGTAGAGGTGGAACCAGTACAACAAGCTGAGAAAACTAATTTTCAAAACCACAAAGGTCATGAGTTCATTCCTACCCTCTACCACTTTCCCGCCAACTGTGAGGCCTGTGCCAAACCTCTCTGGCATGTTTTTAAGCCACCCCCTGCCCTGGAATGTCGAAGGTGCCACGTTAAGTGCCACAGAGATCACTTAGATAAGAAAGAGGACTTAATTTCTCCATGTAAAGGTAAGGCATGAAAATTATTTTTATAACATGTAACAAATTAGAGACTTAAATCCCAATGAAATAACTTCTTCAGATGTGGCACTTCCTATACCAAGTTGAAAAGAGATAATAAGACGTAATATTTTGGCACTGGTGGAGCCACATGCATATTTCTGATTTTACTTTATTTTTCTTACTAGTTTATGACTAATACTTTCTCTTTAAATTTTCCGACTTAATTGAATTAAGAAGAAAAGATATTGTCCAAGCTTAATTAAGCATAGTAAATCTTTTTAAATTGTAAGAACATTTGATAAGGCTCTTTTAGGTATTATGTGACTTTAACTGTGCTCTTTTTTCTTAAAATAGTAAGTTATGATGTAACATCAGCAAGAGATATGCTGCTACTAGCATGTTCTCAGGATGAACAAAAAAAATGGGTAACTCATTTAGTAAAGAAGATTCCTAAGAATCCACCATCTGGTTTTGTTCGTGCGTCGCCTCGAACACTTTCTACAAGATCCACTGCAAATCAGTCTTTCCGGAAAGTGGTCAAAAATACGTCTGGAAAAACTAGGTAAGGATTGAAATGTTAACCTTTTTAACTGTGAGTATGTGATTGGATGATATCTATTAAAATCCAGAGTCCGATTGTTCTTTTCCCCATAAAGGGCATCGTTTGTAGCTGGGCATTTATATATGACTTGAAATTAGTTTAACTGATTCCTGTTAGAAGCTAAGAATGTTTATAAATGTCATATTTATTTAGTTCAGTGTCAGGTTTTGTTGTCATTGGTTATGGTACATATTTAGCCCTTAATATTTTAAACGACTGTTGTTTACCCCTTTTTAATGTAAATAGTTTCATGTAAAACTTTGCTCATTTTATTTTTAACTATGTTGGCAGATTTTTTTTTTAATCAAAATTATTTGGTATTATGAGTGTTAACAAATAAACTTCCCAGTTAAGTATCCTTTTTTTCTTCTTTTCGGGAGAGGGTAGTTTAACTCATTTTTATGGAATTTTTTCAAAAATATTTATATGGTAAAACAAGCAATTACAGGACATAAACCCTTTCCTGAGGAGCGGTTATGATAACTCATTAAGTTCTCATTTAACACATGAAAAAATGGGGCTCAGAGAAATTAAGCAACATGCACAAGATCACACAGCCAACTAGTAGCATAGTCAGGTTGGACCCTTCTTTTATCCATTTCCAAAGCCTATGTTTTTTCTCCTATACCAAATACCAACTTTCCCTAGAGTGTAATCCTTATATTAAGAGGGACATTTGAATCTAGAAGCTGAGACCTAACACTGATTTGCCTCTCTGCTGATGTCACCCAAGTCTTCCAAGCAGGCTTAAAGCCATATTTAATTTATCCCATTTCTTCATTCCATATTATCAATAACCAAGTCTAATTCTTTGAAATGACTCACATCCATTCCTCCTTCTGTATTCCTCAGCTACCATACTATTCCAGTGCATTATCACCTCACTCTGGACTTCTTTCTGTAGAATCTTGTATTGTCCCTCTCCTATATAGGATAAAAGCTGAATCTAAAATACTTAAAATTTTGTATAGTTTTGTGGGGGGAAAAAAGTGTTTGAAACAAAGTAGAAGCAAAAAGGAGATAATAGTGTGTTTTTCCTTTTTCCTGTTTTCCAAATTTTGTGTATTAGTTAACTATTATATATAATGTATATGTACCTTTCCTTCCATTTTTGTTTTCTGAATTTTTAAACTGAGTACATTTCTTAAATTTTTTTATTTTTTTCCCTCAACAGTTAACCATGTGACCTAGTGCCTTGTGGAATTGTGTGGGATGCTACCTGATAAACCAGGCATCTTTTACCATGCAGAGCAGAAGGCTGTTCCTTTGACACAAATATCACAGGCTTCAGGGTTAAGATTGCTGTTATTCTGTCCTTGCTTTGGCACAAAAGCACACTGAGGATTGTTTTTTTGTTTTGTTTTGTTTTTGTTTTTTATTGCGGGTTTGCCTACAGGTAGATTAGATTAATTATTACTATGTAATGCAAGTACAATTGAGGGAAAGCTTAGCTAGATATATTTTTTTAAAAAGGTGCTGCCTTTTTTAATTTCTAAGAAAACGCCTGTCAATCATGATAGAACACAGTTTTCCTCATACGAGTGAGAGGAAGAGACTTTCACTTTCAAGTGGAATGGCCATCACTATCAAGATCAGCTCATGGAAGGAGTAAAGAAAATATCTCAAAATGAGACAACTGAAATTTTTTTTTAATAACTTCAGTTTTTATGCTCTTGCAAGACTATACAAAACTATTTTAAGAAAGCAGTGACATCACTTGACTTCAGTGCCCTCACTGTAGAATTTAAAAGCCTTACTGTTGATTGCCTGTGGTGGACTTGATGGAAAATAAATATCTTACATTATGCTTTACAAAATACTGTACGTGTTTCAGCAAGTTTGTAGATTGGGGAATGGGAGAAGGCAAAAAAAAATTACATTTAATCTATGCATTTTTGCCAAGCCATATTGAGTTATTTTACTACTAGAGACATTAGGAACTAACTGTACAAAAGAACCAAGTTTAAAAGCATTTTGTGGGGTACATCATTTCTGTAATTATATAATATGTTTCTTTGTGGTTTTAAGTGATAAAGACATTAAGTTAACAAACATATAAGAAATGTATGCACTGTTTGAAATGTAAATTATTCTTAGAACACTTTTGATGGGAGTTGCATTGCCCTTTTAGTGCCTTAATTTGAGAGAATTATTTTACTGCCATGACTAAATATAAAAATTTCAAAAAATATATTTTCAGAAAATTATGTGTGTTGGGGGTTTTTCATTGATAATTGGCTTAATTTAAAATATTTAGAGGTTTGGTGGACTTTCATAAATTGAGTACAATCTTAGCATCAAACTACTTGCTAAAATGATGAATGACTTCGTAAAACTCTGCAAAATATGTAGAAGGTTGTACCAATATAAAAGAAAATTATGGCAATACATCTGTGATGTTTTCCAGTTAACATAGGAATTACCAGATAAATACTGTTAAACTCTTGTTCAATAGCAAAGGTTGATTCATATGGGCAGTATGATTTATTGTTTATTTTTTTAACCAAATACCTCCTCAGTAATTTATAATGGCTTTGCAGTAATGTCTATCAAATAAGAAGCACTGGAAAACTGATTCGTCTCTAGGATGATATGCATGTTTCAAGTGGTATTAAAAGCCGCACTGATGGATATGTAATAATAAACATATCTGTTATTAATATGCTAATGACTCTGTGCTCATTTAATGAGAAATAAAAGTAATTTATGGATGGATACCTTTAATAATGACTGCTATGGTATTTTCTCATGACTGAGATGAATGGAAGCCATGCTGTAAATTAGTCCCTGACTGCATACAAATGTTTGTTAAATTTCATGACTAAAGTGAATTTTTAAAAGATAAAACCTGGTTTGGGCTCTAAAATAGGAGTGCTACAGTTGAAATGAAAAGTTGGCTAATGTCTTTCGGAAACAATTCTCCATGGGTCTCTCATGTTTCTCACATCTTGGGAGCAGAAGCTCTGACAGCCTTTGTTTGTTCTACACTGTCTTTGCAAGGAGATTTGTATAGTGAACAGCCATGGAAGACATTGTGTTTCCATAGAGAGGAAGGCAGGTTTGTTTGCTGTTGTATAATAAAGATAGTGTCTCTCTCCAGGGCAAAAATTGGGCAGATTTGCTTGAGCCCATTATAAAAGATTCAGGTACCCTAAACTTTGGGCTCCTCAGCTGTGGTGCAAACTCACTGCATGCTCAGCACCCACCTGGACCACTTTGCATCACCCCTGTGGGACTCGGAGGGCAAGGGGAACTGATGAGAACGTGAAGCTCATGCTGCTTGCTGTGCTGTAAGTATAAAGTCATTTGGCTCTGACCCAGGATCCATGAAATTGTGGCAGGCTAACTTGTAGCTTGCAAGTAGGGTGAAACCTCAGACCCTTCACAGTTCTGGACAGTGTCCTTACTACCGCCTCAGAACCATCACCATTACCCTAATGTATTAAGGTCTAATATATTAAGGTCCAGTAAAGTTCAGAGAACAGAGTTAATTCTATTTATTTGAGCAAGAGAGTACTTTTTTTTTTAACAAAATATTAACTTGAGCAAAAAATTGTTGAGAACTGACACAACTTTAAGGAATGACTTCAGATGCCACATTGCAAAACCAGGTCAACCAAGAGAGCTGCTGCTTCTTTTTCTTTTTTTTCATGTGGACTATTCTTAAAATCTTTATTGAATTTGTTACAATATTGCTTCTGTTTTATGTTTTGGTGTTTTGGCCGTGAGGTATATGGGATCTTAGCTCCCTGACCAGGGGTCGAACCCATACCACCTGCATTGGAAGGCGAAGTCTTAACCACTGGACCACTAGGGACGTCCCCAAGAGAGCTGCTTCTATTCTAAGTTCAGGAAACCACTCAATCCCAAAGTATACCAACGTGGCAAGCATCAGGATAGTGTCATCTAACGTGTCCACACCACGTTAGATGCTGTGTTTCATTCTCTTACCATATAGGAACCTTGTGTCTAAACACTGGGGTCTCTGTCAGTAATACCTCAGAAAAATCCTTTTCATGAGCTTCCCTATCTGCTGGCATTAGCATACCCTCCATCTCACCTCTGCCTTCTATAGGTGCATCTGCTCATCCAAAATACATGACATTCAGAATTCTAGCTGTAAGAAAATCTGGGAAATGGAGCTTTTAGCTTTCTATCCTCTTGATTACAGAAAGACACAGAGTGTAGAATGAGATTCAGCCTCAAGCCTGCCCACCCACCACTCCTGAGAGCTTGGGTTGAGGTCAGGGATTATGGGCTAGAAAGAAAACAGCCGTTGTCATGATTCACAAGCTCAAAACAACGATGGGTCACTTGTCATTATTTGGGGTTTCAGCTTAAAATAATCTCTCCATCCTTCGTTTAAAGAAATATCAATAAGTGAAATAATTTAAACATGGCAATCAAACTCTAATTGATAAAGTATGTGTTTTTTTATATCACTAGAAGTTTTGTAATAACTAAATTTGGTATTTACATAACTTATTTTGTTGATTCTTACTGGGTTGCTGGTTTGAGCTTTTTAATTTTAATTTTTGGTATTCCAGCACTTCTACAGTTCTTTCTGCTCAGAAAGAAAACACAGCTACTAGCAGCTAGTAGGATGAATAAAGACAATGCCTTTAAAAATTAGTTAGTTGTGGGGCTTCCCTGGTGGCGCGGTGCTTTGGAGTCCGCCTGCCGATGCAGGAGACGCGGGTTCGTGCCCCGTGTCGGGAAGATCCCACATGCCGCGGAGCGGCTGGGCCCGTGAGCCATGGCCGCTGAGCCTGCGCGTCCGGAGCCTGTGCTCCGCAAATGGGAGAGGCCACAACAGTGAGAGGCCCGCATAACGCAAGAAAAATTAAAAAAAAAAAAAAAAAAAAAAAATTAGTTAGTTGTGAAGGACATAATATATTGCGCTACTACACTTTATTATTCTATGGTATTGTTTAATGAGCAAAAGTCTTAATTTTAGCGAAGTCAAATTTATTGATCTCCTTTATAGTTAGTGCTTTTTGTATTCTATTTAAGAACTCTCTCCTATTCCCAGGGTCGTGAAGATAATTCTGCGTTAGCTTCTTGAAGTTTCATTGTTTTGACTTTAACATTTACACAATGGGGAAAGGATTGTCATGTCAATAAATGGTGTTGGGAAAACTGGATACCCACATACAAAAGAATGAAAATGGACCCTCAACTTACACAAAAATCAACTTGGATTAAAGTCTTAAGTGTAAGAACTAAAACTCAGACTCCTAGATGACAACATAGGGTAAAAGCTTCTTGACATTGGCCTTGGCAGTGATTTCTTGGATATAACACCAAAAGCACAGGCAACAAAAGCAAAAACAGGCAAATGGAATTACATCAAACTAAAACTTCGGCACAGGAAAGGAAACAAAATAGTGAAAGGCAAGCTGTGGAATAAAAGAAAATATTCACAAACCATATATCTGATAAAGGGTTAATATTCAAAAACTGTAAGGAAATCCTACAACTCAATAGCAAAAACCAAAAACAGATAACCTGATTTAAAGTTGGGCAAAGGACCTGAATAGACATTTCTCCAAAGATGATATACAAATGGCCAACAGGTGTATGAAGAGATATTCAACATCACTAATCCTCAGGGCAATTAAAATTACAGTGAGATATCAGGTCATACCTGTTTGAATGGCCATATCAAAAAACCCCAAACAACCCAAAAGATGTGTGGAATCTAAAAAATACAATAAACTAATAAATAAAACAGAAGCAGACTCACAGATACAGAGAACAAACTAGTGGTTACCAGTGGGGAGAGGGAAGGGGGGAGGGGCAATATAGGAGTAAGGGGAAATAAAGGGTTATGGGATTATACAAAATCATCTGTGTGAGACTTTATTTTATTTTATTGGAGTCTAGTTGATTTACAATGTTGTGTTAGCTTTGGGTGTACAGCAGAGTGACTCAGTTACACATATACATATATTCATTCTTTTTCAGATTCTTTACCCAGATAAGTTATTACAGAAAATTGAATAGAGTTCCCTGTATTCTACAGTAGGTCCTTTTTGGTTATCTATTTTATATATAGTAGTGTGTGTATATGTTAATCTGAAGCTCCTTATTTATCCCTCCCCACTACATTTCCCCTTTGGTAACCATAAGTTTGTTTCCAAAATCTGTACATCTGTTTTGTAAATTTTTGTAGATAAGTTCATTTGTATTATTTTTTAAAAATTAGATCCCATGTATGAGTGATACATAGGATATTTGTCTTTCTCTGTCTGGCTTCACTTTGTATGATAATTTCTAGGTCCATCCATGTTGCTGCAAATAGCATTATTTCATTCTTTTTTATGGCTGAATAATATTCCATTGTATATATATATACCATTTCTTTATCCATTTATCTGTCGATGGACATTTAGGTTGCTTCCGTGTCTTGGCTATTGTATATAGTACTGCAATGAACATTGGGTTCATTGTATCTTTTCGAATTATGGTTTTCTCCAGATATATGCCCAGGAGTGGGATTGCTGGATCATATGGTAGCTCTATTTTTAATAGTTTTTAAGGAACCTCCATACTGTTCTCCATAGTGGCTGTACCAATTTACATTCCCACCAACAGTGTGGGAGGGTTCCCTTTTCTCCACACCCTCTCCAGCATTTATTGTTTGTAGACTTTTTGATGATGGCCATTTGTGTATGAAACTTGAAAATTGTAAAGCACTATAGAATTTAAAGAACCTTTCATTCAATTTAAAAAAAAGCATTATTTATCCCATACATTAAAAAAATAACAAAACAAAAAAAGATCAGTGTTGGCAAAGATGTGGAGAAAAGGGAACTTTTGTACACTGTTTGTGCAAATTTAAATTAGTACAGCCACTATAGAAGACAGTATGGAGGTTGCTCAAAAAAATTTTGCTTAGTCACCATTACAGCATTATCAGGAGAGGCTAGATTATCAAACAATCTCCCAAATCTCAGGGGCTTACAAAAACAGGTTTATTTCTCTCTCACATGACCTGTCCACCATGGGTCAGCTGCAGCTTTGTTCCGCATCCTATTCACTCTGGGACTCCATAGCAGCCTCTCTCAGGAACATCACTGACCATGATGGCAAAGAAAAAGAGAACATGGTGACCCATGAGCTAAATCTTAATGCTTTGGCCTAGATGCAACACGTGTCACTCTCATTAGTATCTCATGGCCAAAGTAAGTCATAGGCCAAACCTGCCATCAAGGAGAGGAGGACACATAATCATATGATTGGGAAGGACAGGAAGTTGGGGGAACAATAATGTTTCCTACCACAATTATTTCCTTTTTCTTTGACCAACAAATCAAGGCTTTTACACATGAGCACCTCAATACCCCATTTTACTGAAAGAAAAGTGGTATGATTTTTATCTGTTTCTGCCAATTTAATGTAATCTTTTCCATTTTCCCCCTCCAAGCTATATTTCTTAGAGTGACAGAATTTTAATGTTGGAAGTGATTTTAGAGATAGTCCAACTCAAGCTACTTATTGTATCAATACTCAGGGAGGAAATTGTAACATGTCCATGTCCTAGATTGCAATTAGACACAAAACAGGATAGAACCCATGTCTCCCAGCTCATAGTTGAATGCTGCTTCTACCACATATAGTTTCATTTCCAAACCTGAGTTATTAAAATGATATGCTTTTTAATAGAGTACATGTTATTCAATACACGAACATGATTACAGAAAACATTTAAATGTAGGAAAAAATGTGAAGATGGAACACATGTTTGGATATCACTTTACAACATATGCTTTTGTATACAAAATCTCTTGGTTGCAAATGTAAAACCCAACTCAAACTGACTAAAGAAGAGGAAATTTATTGAC